AAAAATATTTTTGTCAATTTTTTAAAATTTGTATTTTTTAAAAAAAAAATTTTTTTATTTTACAAACCCTTAGGATTGATTGTTCAGAAACATAAAAAAGTATACCCATACTCTCTAAATCTGAATTAGTAATTTTCTACTAATGAAAGAGTGCGGATTCGTTTATCAATTGAATTGGTAACAGTTTTGACTCTTTTTTAGTAGAAAACTACTAATTGCTAGTAGAAAACTACTAATTTATGGAGTAAATAGTATTTTTTACTATTTTAAATTAGTAAGCCGATTTACCAATTAGTAAAAGTTCTACTAAAAAAAGAGTCAAAACTGTTACTAATTCAATTGGTAAACGACCCTCACAGCACCGGATATTTAAGGATATCCCTAGGACATTCTGGGGATATCCATTGCCTTGCGGCGGTTTGGATATCCCTGGGATATCCTCAGGATGTCCGAGGGATATCCAATCCGCCACAAGCAAATGGATATCCCCAGGATGTCCCAGGGATATCCTTAAATATCCGGTGCTGTGGGGGGAATCCGCACTCTTTCATTAGTAGAAAACTACTAATTTAGATTTAGAGAGTATATAAAAAAAATTGACGATAAAAAATAATAGAAATTGTAAAAGAAGTTAAATTTTAAAAGTGTTAACAGTAAACTTTAAATCAATAAAAATTTAAATTATTTAGAGGTGTCAATTTTTTTGTTATTGAAATAAGAAATCCTTTTTCTCAGCGTAATTTGAATTAGTCACTTAATTTTTGCTTTTGAATTAGTTAAATTTTACTAATTCAAAAGCAAAAAGTGAGTTCCTAATTTTAATTATTTAAAAATTTTACTAATATTGATATTTAGATACACCCAAAGAAATTATATATTTGTCTCACAGCCTAATAAATATTTATTTGATTTAAATAAACAATTTTATTTACATCAAATAAATTGGCTAGTATAGGCTGTAAGACAAATATACGTTTATTTAACTCAAATATATTATATTTGGTTCAAATAAAACATTTCTCTGGGTGTAGTCTAGCACCTCAGAGTGGCAAGTAAGATTTAAGATTAAAAATGCCTTAATTAAAGCTATTTTTAAGTTACCAAAATAGACTACAAAATTTTAAGACTGTTTTCAAAATAAGAAACTTTATACAATTTTAAAACTGTGAAAAAAAAATGTTTTGATTGACATTTGTATAATATGTATATACCTACACCAATGTGTAAATATACGATTTAAATTAGATGTAAACACAAGGGAGTCTTTTCATTTTTTGATATTGAAATGTCAAAACGATCATAAAATTTTATTTTAATCTAAAGAATATAGTCGCGCTATATGCACCTTTCAAAACAGCATTATATATACAATATAAGCAACCATATTTTATGTTTGCATAATCCCTTTTTTCTCGGTTCCCAACGGCTATATAGTAGCACCTGTACAAAAAAAGGATTTATTGAAGTAATAAAGTTTTGTTCGCTTAAATGGACCAGCAATTTTTTTCCACCTCGATAAGAATAAGAATTCATTTCTTCCAAGTCAAAACTCTCATGTCAAAAAAGCCAAAGAGAAAGAGAGAGAGAGGGAATATATTATTGTGCCGAGATGCAAAACTGCTTATATGCCCTAAAGAAAGAATCGGACGAACAATTAAAAACAAAAGTTAGTTTATAGCTTCATATTTTCGTATTTTTGATAAAAAAATAATTTGGGGCTATTACACGGAGAGAAATTGACAGTAATGGCGACTGTCGCGCCATTTCTGGTGACTATTCGCTACGGACATGGCCTTGAACATATGCCGGATATGACTATCAGCGCTGCATGTGGCGAAATTAGGCAATTTTCGTTGGACAACGATAATGACAGATCAATAGTAATCAATGTAAATAATATGAATGTTATAATAAAAACGGGGTTTGCTGCAATAAACCATGAAATTGAATTTCGCCCAGAAACAATTAAAAAAAGGAAGGCTTTAGCGATGATTCACGTTGTCAGGGTGGAAGAATTTAGAGTTAATGGAATCAGTGAAGCAATTAAAGCAAGTGTGATTCGTCAAACGTCTGTCAATTCTCCTCCTTATTCAGTTAATTTAATGGTAGTTTTTTATTTTAAAAGATATATATATATATTGATTTTTAAAATTCCATTTACACATATGAACCAAAATAATTTATTTAAACAAATAATTAAAGAGAATGTAGGATATAACATAACCTCAAAATTAAAAAATAATTTTTAATGCAAACAAAAACTAAATATAACCTATTTTTAAAGATTTAGTTATAAAAATTTCGGATAAAATTATGTTAAGTAATTATTTTTTAACATTTGCCATTTTTTCAGAATAAACAAAAATCGAATTTTTTATCTTATTTTTTATAAAGGATTAGTTTAAATTTAGAGAAACTTTCTTTACAATCGAAATATTTTTTTTAATTATTAAAAAATTGTAAACAATTCAAATTTTATTTCTTAATTAATTTTTTTATAACATATTTTTAACACTTTAAAAAAATTACGATTGAAGAGAATTGTTTCACTAAATAACAAAAACTTTTGGTTCTAAAGTTTGATAAACACTGCAATTTTTTTAGTTCAGAAAAAAATTCAAATTTGTAAAGAAATAATTATCTAATAAAAGATTTTAATTGAAAATAACTTTTTCCAAAAAGTGCATATAAATAGATCTTTCAAAATTACTTTAAATTAATTTTAAATAATTTTTTTTTGTTTATGTTAATAGCCATTTTCACTACCCTCCATAAAAAATGCAACCTAAAATATTTTTTCTTGACTCAAATCGAAAAGTTACTTATGTTTCATGTACATCTTAATAGTTTATAAATTTGGTCGCCGTAGTATATCACAAATAGATTTAATCGTCAGAAACAATTAAATGTCACTTTTTTCTAATGTAAACATTTGACAAGTATCCAACGAAAATTGCGCCACATTGCCACTAGAGGCGCCACCGTGTTTCCGTGTCCGCAGCGAATACCGTTTAGTAGATTTTTGACGAACTAATTTAACAGTGGGATTTACTAAACAGCCGTTTTGTAGCTGTGACATATTAACCCAAGTAGCACGATATATCAACCGGATGTCACGGTGATATCACCGGGGAATGTCACCGTGACATCACACTATGGGAAATTTGACCCTTTTTTCTGGCCAAAACCTATTTTTTTAAAGATTTTTGAAATGAAAAATTTTTTTTTACATCCAGACAGACCATATTCTAAATAATGAAATTCAATATTTGTTGTTCATGAGAAACAATATATATAACAATTAAATTTATTGTCAAAAATTGCCTTCAGTTAACCCCTCTTTTGTTCTGGGCATCTCGTATTTTTGAACTATTATTCAAAAATTAATATCTAAAAAATGGCAAAAGTAAATCAAAATAAATAAAATGGAATCAAAAGAACAGAGTAAGTTTATTATATATTACCTTATTAATAATTACTTAATATTAAAATATTTCTGAAAAAAAAATATTTTTTAATGTCGTTTACATTGAGTAGTTTTTTTTAACCTAAACTTTGGCAAGACTTTTATAAAATTGACGGTGTTTAGCAGCATTCTAATTATTATAAAAATGTTACGTATTTAATAAAGAAACTGGGCACCAAAAATTACTTTGCGATTTTTTGCGTTTTTTGAGTAAATAATTTTTTTCTTAGACAACTATCCAATTCGGTATTTGGATTTGTACCAAGCTTGGAAAGAAGAGAAAGATGAAAAAAGTGCATCAGCTGCAATTTATAATTCAATTTTAAAAATAATTGGCGGTGGTGATATTTCCAACGAATTCGAAGCTTACTTATTGGAAAGATGTAGAAACATAATCAAAAAAAATTTTTTTTTTTTTTTTTTTATATTTTAATACTTGTTCTGTTAATATATTTTGTATAATAAAGTTTAATTTTCAGAAATAAAATAGTTTGTATTTAGAGACTTTAGATCATTAAATACTAAGTTACATAAAAATCAGTAAGTGTTTTAAAGGTTAAGTTTGATATTCTGGCTCTGCTATATTTGATTTAGAAAATTTTGGCATCAAATTTGTAGTCAGTGATCACAAAATCCTTTAAGTATCATGTTTCAAAAGATTTCAACATTTTTTTAGGGTTTGGTTCGGCCATTTTTAATCCGCCATTTTGAATTTTAAATCTGACCTCAAATTCGTAATCAGCGACCTCAAAAACCTTAGTGCAAGTACTTTTGGTCCTTTTTAAAAATATTTTTAGGTTTTGGCCAGAAAAAAGGGTCAAATTTGAATTTGAATTTCAACTCCCTAGGGGATGCTATAAAAGTCCCACCCTTTGGGAGTTAAAACGAAGGGAGTTAAGATTGGTTTTACGAGTTAATTTTATGCCTAGGGAGTTAATGTTAAGGATTTAATTTAATTATTAACTCCCTTTTTGAGTTGATTTTTAACTCGAAAAATTTAACTCCCAACTCCCAGTGCTATTAACTCACTAATTTTTTTACAGTAACTATATAAAAATATATTGTTACACTTTGAGGTTATGTTTTTAGGGGTCGCAAAGTTCAAATCTGATACCAAATTCATAATCAGAGATTCCAAAAACTTCCGAGTAACAAGTTTCAAACGAATTCAATCAATGTTCAAAAAAAAATTTCTACCATATTGCATCCGCCATCTTGAATTTTGTAATTCTAATTCTAAATTCCCCTTATAATCAGACCAAAAATTGGATAAATCACTTAAAGTTTAGATGTTTGTATTTATATATTTTCTTTCTAGTTTTTGATACTTTACCTTATTCTATGTAAGTTTTTGATAAAAAAAAATAAAAAGAAATTACCTCTTGATGTTACATAACCTCAAATATAGTAAAAAAAATTTGTTTTTTGCTTTTATGTATATCATATCTTTTGCTTTTTGTTAACTTTAATTTTAATTTAATTTTCGTTAATATATAATTTTATAATTTTATGAATAAAATATCTTTTGTTACAGAAATTGAAAGCGCACAAGAAGCCAAACAAACCGCAGTGATATTATTTTCCCTAATTTATAATATTTGTTTATTGTATACTTTTAATATTGTTTTTTTCTCCAAGTAAATTTTTTTTGTAAATAAAGAGAAAAAAATATATAAAATTTAAAAATTTATAAGTCCAATAAGTGTATAAGGTAAATATATATATATATATATATATATATGAATGATAATGCAATCCACCCCCAAGGAAGCTTCAAGATTTTTTGAGAGCTTCGTCCCTTTGTCCGCGTGCCAGGCACCAGATGTTCTGAAAATAAAACCGACAAAATGCGGCCAAGAAAAGAGAAGGAGAAAAGTGGAGAGGGATTCGGGGATTCACAACAACAAGTAAAAAAAAAAAAAAAAAAGGAAAAATGCGAAATCGGGATTCGAAAAGCCCGTGCAATGACCGCGCAATCTGAACACGCGATCTTAACAGTTACGTAGCTATTTCATCAAGGGCCCCTTTAAAATTTATAATTTTATCTGCTTTCCTTTATTTTTCTGTTATTTTTTATATTTTATTATATTTATCTATTTATTTATTTTATTCATATTCTTTCCAATTATAATATTTATTTAATATTATATATTTATCAATATTTTATTTATTTATTTATTAATTAATTTTTTAAATCAATAAATATTTTTTATTTCCTTCAAAAATTTCTTTTATTATATATTTGTGATGAACTTTCAAGAAAACGAAACTAAGAAGGAAAAAATTATAGGTTATGTTTATAAAGTTTGGTAAAAATTAAATAAACATAACCTATAATTTTTTTTTATCACTTTTCAGGACTTTATAAATTTTTTTTTGTGTAATTTTAGTTTTTTCAATAATAAAAATATTTTCTTATAAATAATAATAATAACAATAATTGAATAATAATTTAATAAAAATAATAATATTTAAAAAATTATTTTAAAATAAATAAATTAATTAATAAAAATAAGAATAAATCTGAAAAAAAATAACCAGCAAAATATTTTTTCAACTTTAATTAATTCTTTACATTGAAAAATAAATTTATTTTGATTTCAATAATCGGTTACTTGACTATTATCGCAAATATATATATATTTATTTTTATTGAATAATTATTAATTGATTCAATTAAATGATAGTTTCAAATATACAGAAATTATTGGTTCAAATACAGTTTATTTAATTCAAATAAAAATTGTTTGATTCAAATAAATATTTATATTTGATAATAGTCAAGTAATTGATTATTTAAATTAAATAATTTTTTTTTTCAATGTACAATTTTAATTTTATTTTTTTATTCAAGAAAGTTACATTTTATGGAAAAGGAAAATTAAAAAAAAAGATTACAATGAAAGTTTAAATGCAATGAAAAGTTTCTAAAAATTAAAAATAATATATAATTTTTTTATAATAATAATAATAATAATAATAATTATAATAATAATTATAATAAAATTATTAATTCTAATAAAATGAAAAAATTCCTAAAAGTAAAAAGTAAATCCTAAAAATTCTTAAATAAAGTTAAATTTATTTATTTAAATACTTATTTAAAGGTAAATAAAATTTAAAATGAAATTTTTATCATTATCAACTGAATATTTTAGAAATAATTTTCTAATTTGTTAATATTAAATAAATTTAAATACAATGAAAATTTTAATAAAAATTATATATAAATATAAAATATGAAAAAAATAACTTAAAAATCGATTTTAAAATTTTACAATTATATTATTAATAAAAAAAAAAAAAAAAAATGAAAAATAAAGAAATATTCAGAAATGAAAATTTTTGAAATTATATTACTTTTTTGTTAAAATGTAATTTTTGAATTTTTAAAAAAAAAAAACTTCCTCGAATAGAACTGTTTGATTTTATTAATTAATGTTTTTTTTTTCAATGTACACCAAAAATAATACGGCCCTGTGTTGGTCTGTAAGCCAGTCGCAGGAAGAAAAAAATTAAATAGAAAGTGGTCTGTCCGGCTTTAAAGCACAATCCTGGTGTAGTTTTCTTGTTCCTGTTTTTAACTATAGTAAATGCAACCGCGGTCTCTTGGTGGCTCCTCAACTATTGTGCTCACATTTCTCGTGCGGTTGTCGACTCGAAAAGTATCTTTGGGGTATTATCGGTAAGTGAAAAATCGTGTTCGCTCTTCTCATCGTGATTTGACAAACAATTTTTATACAAGACAATTATTTCAAAAAAAAAAAAAAAAAATTTTATAAATAATTTATTTTCAATATTAACTTTTCAAAAAAAAAAAAAATATAAAAATTTTCTTATTTATAAATTGCAAATATAATATTTGAAAACTTGTGACAATTTGAAATCGTTGACTTTTATTGTGCATCCTTAATTTTCTATGAAGGTTTGAAAAGATTTTTTTTTTCACTTATTTTGGATCCTGATTAAAAAAGCAGGAAAGTATATAGATTTTTTCACTTTTTAGAATTTGGAATATTTTTTTTTCTCAAATGGAAGTTGAATATTTTTTTTTTAATTCAATGTTTTAATTCTTTATTTTTGCAAATTTTTTTTTTATATATTTAGCATATTTATATGAAATTGGCATAATTATAAAGGATTTTTTTTTCATTGCAAAAAGCGTTTTTTTATTTTATTTATTTTATTAAATTTTAGATTTTAATTATTATTTTCCATTTTGGAAAAAATCTTTTTTCTAATCTATTTCCATTTTTTTTTTTTGTTAATTTTATAATTCTAAACTTTTTAAAAAAATTATTACAAATTTTTTTTTTTTAGAAATATTTTCATACGATTTTGTATAGAATCAGTTTAAATATTTTGGAATTCAATGATTCGGAATATATTTTTCATCAAAGGGATTGGAATCTGAACAGGCTTTTTGGCTTGAGGGGTCAGTGACTCATGAGGATGCATAATAATGTTACATTATAGTAAAGTCTTTGTTACATACGTGAAAGATATATATTAATTCTCATTTGAGACGAAATAAATTAAATTTTACAATTTTTTTTTTTTTACAAGAATTAAAAAATATAGAAAATTAGAAATAAATTATTATATTTTTTATAAAATAATAATTGAAAAATTTTTCCAATACTAATAATTTAATACATAAAATAAACATGTATATAATATTAAGAGAAATTTTTTGTTGAATCAAAATATAATTTATTTAAATTAAAGAAAAATATAAATTTGTTTTTTAAAACGAAATAAATTATTTATTTTCAATAGAAATTTTTTTTTTTTTGTCGCCAAATAAAATTTATTTGAAACAAAAAATTATTTTTACTAAGTTTCTTTGTTTATTTATTTTATTTTTCACAATTATATAAAATTGAATAAAAAAAATAGAAAAAGTTTTAAAAAATTAAAAATAAATTAAAAAAATAAAATATATATATAAAATATTTTTTCCTTTGTTGAGCTTAAAAATTTTATTGATGAATATTTATTAAAAATTAAAAAAAAAAAAAACAAAAAAAAAACGAAGTCAACTTTATAGTTAGAAATTTGCTCTTGCTCTGACATTCAATATTTTCCACTCTAATAAATTTTCCCTCCTTTGAAAGTAACTTGAGATGGAATACTTCGTCTTTTTATTATAAGCGAAGTGAAAGTGCCCCTTTTAAAATCATATACAACTTTTTCAGTTTGCGATGTAAGCGATATTCTTTTGTGAAATAAAGAAGTTTTATTTTCTTTTTTTATAACTTCATATTTAATAAAAATTAAATTTCATTCCAATATAGCTGTTGTTATATTAATTAAAAAAAAAAAAAAGAATTTAAATTCAGATTTTTTTTATTTCTATTAATTTAGTATTTTTTATGGATCAGAATCTCATAATTTCTCAAATGGATTACCTAAAATAAAAATAAAATTTAATGATGTTTTTTTTACTCTTACTGTAATCAAAATAAGTTTCTGAAAATATAAGAATAAAAAAAAATTTGTTTGTTTAAATTATAAACAATTTAAATTTTTAGCTGTCTTAAAAAAAAAATTTTTATGAAATCAAGTTGACCAGTTTAAAAATAAAAAAATAGGTTTATTGTCTTTGAACGTAATATTTCGAAATAATTTTTGTTTTAAAACAATTTTTATTAAATAATATTATATTTTTTATTTTACAAATAGATAATTTATTTATTTATTTTTTTAATATTTATAATAATTTATAATGATAAATAAAAAATAAAATAAAATTAAATTAATACGATAAAATAATAATAATAATAATAATAATAATAATAATAATAATAATAATAATAATAATAACAATAATAATTTTTATTATTATTATTTTTGTTTACTCATTATTTTTTATAAATAATTATTATTAAATAACTTTTTTTTTTAAAATTTAGTGTCATTTTTTATACTCGGTTTTATACTCAGAAACGTATGCGAAATTTTTAAATTAATGGAATTTTTTTTTATTTAAAAAGCTAAAAATTTCAATTTATCAAAAAAAATTTTTTTTTTCTAATATTTTCAAAAACTTTTTTGATAACAGTAATAGTAAAGAAAAAGATTGAAAATTGAAAATTATTGCAACTTTTTTTTTTATTTTCTTAATTCGCTTAATTATTTATTAATTAATAATTTCATAATTTAATTATGAATAATTTAATTATTTCATATAGTAAATTAAATAAAAAAATAAAAATTTTTGAATTTGAAAAAAATGAAAAAATCAAATCTTTAAATTATTATTTATTTTTAAAAGTTGCAAAACTAAAAGTTTATCGAATACAATTTTTTATTTGACTTCTGTCAGATTAGTAGATAATGTCCGTTACGATCAGACATGCCTTGAGGAAGAAAATGAAAAGTAATTTTATTTTGAAAATATAAATTAAAAACTCTGAAAATATTATAATTTAGATTAAAATAAAAAAAAATGATTGTTTTTCTGTATTTATTTATAAATTTTTTTTTAACTAATTGTTATATTATAAAAATGTATAATTTATTATTTACTTATACCTTTCTATTATCGTAACCACAATAAGTGAGAGTCAAGTTCACTTGAGTAGAAAAATCCATCATGGTCAGACACAATAAAGAGAGTAATCTCCAAGTGTTTTGTTGAATCGAATAAAATAAAATAAAAAATAAAAATTATTATATAAATAATTAGAGTACTTTAATACTGAATTAAATTTATAGAAACAATAATAAATAATTATAATTAAAAATTTTTATTTTGAAATTAAGATCTAATAAAATTTATTTTTCGTTTCTTTTTTCAGGGGACAAAAACTTTTGGAAATTTCTTTTTTGGTAACACAATGGCTAAAGTTTTGGCACTTTTGGTGATCACTTTGGTTTGTTTAATAGTCAACACTCGGGGTCAAACATCAGTAAAAAAACGTAAGTATATAAAAATAATTAGAAAAATAATTACTTGAATATAGTCTGAATTAAATCAAAAATTTCTTTCACATTAAAATTTTTCTAATTTAATTTTAAAATAATTTTTTAAAAACATTTTCTAATTATTATTATTAAATTTTATTAACAATAAAAATTTCAAATATTAAATATTATTATTAAATTTTAAAATATTAAATTTTATTTTTTAAATTTATTTAATATATAAACGGTATTAATTTTTAATAATAATTTTAATTTTATTTACTCTCCCTGCATAGCAGGGTTCGGGGATCCATAATTTTTAATATAGAATATTAAATTTTTAAATATTAAAATTTACTATTACTGAATTTTAAATTCAATGGTAATAATAAAATTAAAAAAAAAAAAAAATGCGCAATAATAATATTTTTATCATTTGTTTTTAGCACTCGTCGGTCAGGCCTTTGACGAAATTGTTGTAACATCAGATCTAAATGTAAGAAGAAAAGCTAAAGAAAATCGGCAGGGAAAAAAATTATTGACGAACGTGCCGTCAGATTTTATCGGACCTCCAGGAAACCCATCGAGGCTCGTATCCAGCGACGGAAGTAGAGTAACACCAGAAAAAAGGGAAAAACGCAGTATCATATCACCTCAAGAAAGGTGAGAACAAATAAACAACTGAAAATGGAAATTTAAAAAAAACACAATTTTTTTTAACTGTAAAAATTAAAAATTAAATTTAAAATTTTTTTAAAAATCTGTGTGGTAATTATCACATTCAAAATTAATTTAAAATCAATTTTAAAAAATTAAAAAAAAAAATGACAGAAATGAAATGAAGAATCAAATAAATTAAATTTATCATATAATAATGATGAAATTGTTTCAGAGCATTAAATTTGGAAACTGCTGGATACTTGCTGAGATCTCGAAAGCGTTAAAAAAAAAAACAAAAAAAATTTCAGCACGTTCTCGAGGACAACCGCACAAATCCTCACCCCCATCTGTGATCACACATTTCGACTGACCTTTGGACTTCGGTTTTGTATCAAAAATGATAATAAAAATTCTTCTGTGTCATAACAATAATTCACTGTCTTTTTTTCTTTAATTTGAAGAAAAACCAAAAATATTTTATTTACTATCGACATTTTTTATAATTAACAGAATATTTTTTGATGTTAATTTTTTAAATTGAATTTTCATACCAAAAATTTTTATTTAAAATTCTAATTTAATATAGAATTTTTATAAAATTTTATAAGATTTTTATTTTTTAGTTTACTTTATATTTCTTGTACAAAATGCAAATTTTTATTTTTATTTATTTATTTTTACAAATATTTTCAAAAAAAAAAATATATTTCATCATTATACAATTTTAATGTTCAATCAACTTTTGCCTCGAAATTTAACAAAAATTTAATTTAAAAATTTAGTGGATTTTTTACGATGAAAATTTAATTTTAATATTCAGTCAATTTTCCCGACAAAACTTTCATGAAATTTAAATTTAACTATTTAGTCAAATTTCGCGACGAGAAATTTTCATGAAAATTTAATTAAAATTTTCAGTCAACTTTTTGGCGTCAACATTTATATTTAAGGGTACATGTAAATCTTTAGACACAATTTTCACCAAATTTTGCAATTAAATACTGCGAAGTTTGCAAGTAAATTTTTAATAAATTTTTTTTTGGGAAAGTTTCGATGCTGTGTGGGTTTATTTAAATTCAACTTTTAATGATTCCAGTGGTTAAAATTAAAATTGCTAACACATTTACGGAAAAAAAATTTAAATTAAAAGTTGTTTATAAAAACTCAAAAATATGGATCTTGACTTTTTTTTATTTAATATCTGTTCGTTTCTTCTCATTACAATTAATAAGTTTAATAAAATAATTTCAATTTATGGAAAATCATTTTATTTATAAATATTTATAAAATTATCACATTATTTACAAATATAATAAAATTTTTGAAAAATATATAAATTAATTTGTAAAATTTGTCATTATTTTTCTATGGCAAATATAAAATATTTGTTTTATTATGTTTATTATCACTGAAAAGAAAAATTATATTTGTAATCGATTAATTAAAAGAAACAAAAAAATTTTAATGAAAATTTCTTTTGTGGAACAAATTTTGTAATTCAGAAAAAATTGAAATTGAAATTTCTTCCACAAATTTTAATATTTTTCATAGACAATTTTTTTTACACTTTTTTATGATTTTTAATACAAAAATGGTCAAAAATATTTTTTTCTTTAAATCTGTAAGAAAAAAAAATTTTTTTTATTACAACGAAAATTTCAATGGATTAAAATTTCAGCAGTTCCTCCCCTTTACCAAATAATCATAATTAAAAAAAAATCGGATCATTTTTTGCAAAATTTTAAGGAAACAAAATGAAGAAAATTTTGATATATGCAAAATTGTATAAGTAAATAATTTTTGTAAGTTTAAAATTTTTTTCTTTAAAAATTCGTATCTGTTTTTCCAATCGGATATTATTAATAATAATATTCTTTAAAATTTTTTTTTTTTAAATTGTTATTATAGTGACCTTGAGGATTCTGAATTATCTTTAAAATTTAATTCATTTTTATTAATAATATCATGTAGAAAATTTTTCCATTGTTCTAAAAAAATCTCTAAAGCCATTACTTTTTCATTAGTGTCCATTGAACTGTATTTTATTGAATTTAAAGCAAGCCTCTTTAATGCTCTCAAATCAGAATTCCTCGACATTATACCCATGAAGGCTTCATAAAAATCATAACTCAATCCCTTTGCCCCCCATAGTCCGGGATCATCACTACAAATCACCACAGGATAATTTTCCGCAAAAAGAATACTCGCCGGATGATTTCTTAGATCCGAAACAAGATTTAAAATTTGATTAGATATTGGATTCACTTCTATTGCAATGTTCTTTTTCTTAACAAGTTCCATTAATTTTGGATGTTTCGGTAGAGCAAAACTGAAAATTAATTTATGTAAAATTATCAATTTAAAAGAACTTATAGTAAAATTTAAATTATCAACAATTAATTCAACTTTTAATAAAAATTAAATCAATTGAAACCTAATTTTCACTGTAAACTTGATGGTATCATTTTGGAATGCAACGTTTTGATTCGATATAAGGTATCAAATTGATCCAAATATTTGGATAATTTTCAAGAAATGATCCAGAATATGGGATCATTTTTTGATAGCTGAATTGGTATCAAAATACAACTGTCATGGCTGGCATGATCTTATTGACAAGTTTATTAATTAATTTATTCACTGCACTGAATATTCAGATATTAAAAATACTTTTATTATGAATTTTAAGAAAGAGAGAAGCGAAAACTTATAAATTGCGAACAATTAAATAAGAAAAAATTTATTTCGAAATAAAATGAAATACACTAATCGTTATTTATGTTTATCACATAAGATTTAAGTTAAGCTCACAATTACAACACTTGAAAATTTTTAATTATTTTTATGGTTCAAATAATTATCAATAATTTATTTATTATAAATGAACAAAATTAAAGTAATGCACGCTTGATAAATATTTCTAATGCCTTGTCAATTAATGCAATTAATAATTTCCTATTACACAATATCATAATCGACATATATGACATTTGTAAACAAACAGGGTTGGGAAACAAGAGCCCAAAATATATTCGTCTAAATCGAATTTCAATCCTACCCAACTCTGCTTTGGACGAACATATTTTGGGCTCTTGTTTCCCAACCCTGTTTGTTTACAAATGTCATATATGTCGATTATGATATTGTGTAATAGGAAATTATTAATTGCATTAATTGACAACGCATTAGAAATATTTATCAAGTGTGCATTGCTTAAATTTTGTTCATTTACAATAAATAAATTATTGATAATTATTTGAACCATAAAAATAATTAAAAATTTTCAAGTGTTGTGATTGTGAACTTAACTTAAATCTTATGTGATAAACATAAATAAAGGTTAGTGTATTTCATTTTATTTCGAAATAAATTTTTTCTTATTTAATTGCTCGCAATTTATAAGTTTTCGTTTCTCTCTTTCTTAAAATTCATAATAAAAGTATTTTTAATATCTGAATATTCAGTGCAGTGAATAAATTAATTAATAAACTTGTCAATAAGAGCATGCCAGCCATGACAGTTATACTTTAATACCAATTCAGGTATCAAAAAATGATCCCATATTCTGGATCATTTCTTGAAAATGATCCAAATATTTGGATCAATTTGATACCTTATATTGATTGAAAACGTTGCATGAGTTGATTTTAAGGCCAGGTCCAAGTGAGGCAGCGCCATCTACATTGAAACTAAAAAGTTGGAAAATTTTCAACAGCCTTTTCTTGAAAACAAGAAGGTAAAATGCTTTTTCCTTTATGGATAATTGATTATTGGCAAGATAAACACCAGCTAAAACTTTTTTTGAGTTAAAATAATGAAAAAAAATTTCATGTCGATAAATTAAATATGAGCATTTTTTTCACAAAAACTGTAACAGTACTTTCTCAGAAATTACAATCAAAAATGCAATTTCCATTTGGAAAATTAATAAACGCTAAAAAATACACCACCTAAGATTTACCAATCACAAAAATAACAAAAAAAAAGTACATAACATATTTTACTCATTATGACAGCCGTTTGGCAGGTTATGTATGTCACCAGACGTTTCGCGGTTTTGCCGAAAGGAGGAGATTGGCGCTGTTGCTAACCACCTGAAATACATAATCTACCAAAGGGCTGTCACAATCAGTAAAGCAGTATCAATATGTGAAATATTTAATAACATTTTTTTTTGTTATTTTCGTGATTGGTAAATCTTAGGTCGTGTATTTTTTAGCGTTTATTAATTTTCCAAATGGAAATTGCATTTTTGATTGTAATTTCTGAGAAAGTACTGTTACAGTTTTTGTGAAAAAAGTGCTCATATTTAATTTATCGACTTTTTCATTATTTTAACTCAAAAAAAGTTTTAGCTGGTATATATCTTGCCAATAATCAATTATCCATAAAGGAAAAAGCATTTTACCATCTTGTTTTCAAGAAAAGGCTGTTGAAAATTTTCCAAAATTTTAGTATCAATGTAGATGGCGCTACCTCACTTGGACCTGGCCTTAATTCTTGTATCAATTTGATACACACAAGAAAACTGTGTTATTAAATTTAATACTGTCAATGAATGTGTTTTTAATTCTAAATTTTAATAAAAATTTTAAACTAAAAAAAAGGTTTCTTTTTACCCATGACCGATTCTTTTTGTATTTAGTAAAATTGCATCGATTAAATTTTCATCAGTGGAAAATCCATTCCAATCAGTTTCGCCGGCGTGAAAAAATGTTGCTTTATCCTCTCCTAACGATAGAATTTGATTTGCAAAATTACTTAATGGAGTTCCCTTATCCTCGTGACCAACCAAATCTAAACCGGCAACAAACGATGGAAATGCATTTTTTATCTCTTTAAAGGTATTCAAAAAATTATCCATTTGAGATTCAGTGAGTCTTCTTTGTTTAGAGTAAATTACTTTTACTCCCACAAAGTCGGGATGATCTTTAATAAATCTGTAAAAAAAAATTATTAATTTTATTAAATATTTTATATACCGCATTTATCTGTAATTAATTAATAAATTAAAGTTTTTTTTAACTATAAAAAAGCACAATTTTCTTCCTTACAAAATTTGAATTACTAAAAATTTTAACTAATTGGACCAATCAAAAAGAGCGCCATATATTTTTTGTTCGAAACTACCGGATTAAAACTTTGGTGATATTCCCGAAGAATTACTTGGCAAATTTAATTTTTCGAAATTTTATCTCAACATTATTTGTGTGTAGCTCAGCATCCGCTGGACCCGAGGGGGAATTTGCTAGTTAAAAACGTGTACACTTGACTACCGGTATTACACCTCATATTACCCTTATTACTAAGTTATTACACGTTATTACAGAGTATTACACATTATTACAGAGATATTACAGACTTTTTTGCGTTATTACAGCACCGTAATAACGCATTATTACACGGTATTACACGTTATTACACAAGTATTACAGGAAGAGTGTACACTTGACTACCTGAGTAAATTCCCCCTCGGCTGGACCAATCACAAAGTGCGCCATACATTTTTTGTTCAAAACACCCGGGTTAAGACTTTAAAACTATTCCCGAGAGATTAATTTGATATTTCAAAAAATCACGGTCGTCGCTAGGTCCCACATATCTACAAAAAATGTATGACGCACTTTTTAATTGGTCCAGCGGATGCTGAGCTACATTCAAATAAAGTTGAGAAAAAATTAAATTTGCTAAATAACCACTACGGAATAACATTAAACTCATTAGAAAAAAGTTCTGAACAAAAAATGTATGGCGCACTTTTTGATTGGTCCAGCGAATGCTGAGCTAGATCAAAGTAAATTTTGTGATTTTTTGAAATTTGACGCTTTGAAAATAGTGACAAAGTCTTAACCCGGAAGTTGTCTACAAAAAATGTATGACGCACTTTTTAATTGGTCTAGCGGATGCTGAGCTAAACTAGAAAACAATTTCGGAATAAATTTCGAAAAATTAAATTTGCAAGATATTCGTTCGGGAATACCGCCAAAAAAATAGTCAAAAAGTTTCGAACAAAAAATGTGTGGCACACTTTTTGATTGGTCCAGCGGATGCTGAGCTAGGTCAAAATTAAATGTAAGTTAGATTTAGGTTATATGCGTCATAATTCATAAACGTGTGTAGGTTTAAAGTGTAAAAAAAACATCGAACTGTGCAAACGAGAAAGTGTATTATCATTCTGTGCTAATCAGTGTTTAAAATTAACAATTATTGTGAAAAAAAAAAAAATTCTTTTTGTTACTTATCAGTCTAACTATTTTTTGACAATCATAGAAATGGCGGAAATAATTTTTAAAATTTTAAGGAATTTAAATGGAACTTGATTTTTGTATAAATTAAAAAAAATGTCCGACATTTTGGATCCGCCATCTTGAATTTTTTTTTTTTTGAGGTCATATTTGAATTTAGAGACTCTGAAAACCCTTATATAGGGGAGAGTGGGGCAATTAAATTAGTTCAAATGTCTTTGAAAGTTCTTCCTTGAACATTAGAGAATAAGAAAATAAGGTCAATTGCATGAAAAAAATTTTTTTGATCAATTTAAACCAGCTTTTTAAAAAAAATGCAAAGTACCCCGTTTTGCTCCGATGGTGGGGAAAAACCGGGTACCACCAAGAAAATATATAAATCATGGAATATTCTTTAACTTTTTGTTCAATTATTATTATATATCACTTACATTATAGAAAATAATTAATATTCAATAAATTTAATCTAAATATATTATATTAATAATGAATAACAGCAGTTAAATCTTTTAAAACGAAATTTTTTCATATAATATGAAAAATTTCGTTTAAAAATATGAATCATATTTTTATTAATTTTTTATCGTTTATTTATCGTTATGGTTAATAAATGATATATTGAAAGTTAAACATCGATTTCGAAACATACATATCGTTTATTTTGAGATAAAATTTAAATATATAAAAGATATATGTAAATAGGTGACACAAATGGAAATACCTATCATGGAAAACTGGAGGTACCACGTTTTCCCCCACTCTTCCCTACTAAGTTTCATGAAAATTTTGTCGACTAGAATTTGTTGGACATTTTGGGACCATATAGTAACAATTTGTGAAAGGGTTTAAATCTGTATTTTTTTGTTACTTGAAGTTTTCTTATTGATTAAAAGATTTGAAATAGTTTTCAAAATTTTATGTAAATAAAAGATAAACAAACTTCAAGTTACAAAAAATTTGATAAAAATACAGATTTAACCTGAGAATAAAGTACATTTTTAAATTAATTATTATATTTCCGAAAAATATTCTGAAGGTACACAGAAAATTAAAAGGCATTAAAATAAGCTGCAACGCTTATTATTTTAATCCAATTTTGCTTATTTTAATCCATTTTGGTATTAAAATAAGCAAAATTGGATTAAAATAATAAGCGTTGCAGCTTATCTTAATACCTTATAATTTTCTGTGTACTTATTAAATTTTTTAAAATTGGTGCACAACGACCTTAATCGAAATATAATGGTTTTGACCCTAATATTATAAATTTTTGTTTATTCATCGATAATTTGAGAATACCATTATATTAAAAGATAAAAATTCAATGCCAACAAAAGTTATTATTATGAATAATCAATGTAACAATAACAATGATTCTAAATTTATCAATACACACCTGTCGACTACATTCTTCATAATGACGATAACTTCTTTTGGTGTGTAAATGTGCCCATTCAAATCATACAATTTAGGTAAACTCACTCTTAATTCGACATATAAAATTTTATCATCATAATTTTCTTTTAATAATTGATAATAGTAGTCGGAGAAAACAGGCCTAAAAATATAAATAAATGAAATCAATTGATTAAGTGTATATAATTGAGTCGGATTTCAAAGCTATACAAAAATTTTCATGATAAATGGTAAATTGAACAAAACATAAATATTGTTATTTTTACATTTGATGTTTCTACTTTTGTTATTTTACACTCAGAAAAAAGATATGTTTGAACCTAATGTACCATTTTTTTATATTTACCCAATTTTTTTGGTTAGTTCAAACAAAATTTGTTTAATTCAAATAAATATTTATTTGATCTAAATAACTGTTTGGTTTATTTTAATAAATTTTTTGAACAAAGAAAAAATTTGATTAAGCTAAATAAACGTTTAGTTTATGCAACCAAATGTTTGGTTAACTGTATATCAATGCATTTATTTTGTTGATTTAACCAAAATTTGGTTGCTTCAAACGAATTTTTTTCTGAGTGTAATTATTTATAATTTTTCCTTAATTGTTTTTTTTTACATTCAGAAAATTGTTTTTTTTTTTGAAAAATTTTTGTGTAGCTTTCATATATATCAATTCGAATAATTGAAAATAATTTCATAAAAGTGATGGTAAAATAAATATTTTTTTAAAATCAAATAATATTTTTAATTATTACTTGTATCTCATGAAAGAACCAAGGAAATAGAAGAGATTTTGAAATTTTGTCCATGCTTTATAACCATCAGGATAAATTTCATTTGGATTATCTGTCAACATTGACATGTGATGCAAAATTTGATTATTAATTTTTTTCTCACTTTCTGCATCATTTCTAACGTCACTGAGCAATTTCCACTCACAAGAATTATCAGGAATGTTAAAAAATTGCAGTTGCAATTTACCACTAATATCACAAATATAAAGATTGGGTAGATAAGTGACATTTTCTAAAACATATTTCTGTGAAACGGTTCCCACATCGTGTGCATGTAATAGTCCACCTTTTGGTAGTTTTTGAATTATTTTAAAAACTTGTGATTTTTCAATTTTCTCTTTTACTTTCATGAAATTAGATCGTGGAAGAAATTTGCCTTCATCTTCGAAACCTATATATGAAAAATACAAATCCAGTTGCTTTTTTATTTATTTATTTTTTTTTAAATACATAAAATTAAAATTTTGAGTAATTTTTACAGCACAATACAATAAGAAAAAAGATGATAATATTATAAATTTCAAATTGAATTTTAAATAATACGAACCTTCATCGATTTCATGCAATTTTGCCTTCATTAAAATTTGATTAACAAGTATTTCATCTTTATTTAACACAATTTCCGATCCAAATGAAGAACTTTTTTCAATTCGAATAATTTCAGCACGTTCATGCCAATAATCTTCAACAATTGGCAGGGCAAAAACTAATGATGTATAAAAACTAAAGAAAAAATTTATACTAAGTAAATTTATAATTTTTTTTAACATTTTAATATTTTCTTCAAAAAAAAAATAAATAAAATAATAATAATAATGACAACGCTTAAAATACGTTATTTCACGTATGAAATATTGAATAACTGAAAATGAATTTAAAAAAAAAATTCTATATAACTGAATGGGACATCGTTATTTCATGTAGGTATATTTAAGGCTGATGAAAATATTTAATATATTGTGAAATTATATAAAAAGATTAAATTGAATCATATTTAATGATCATCAATCACCATTTAATCAAATTCTATCATCCATTATTAAATTTAATTACCTATAGAAACTATTGACATAAAAATTATTAATTTGTTATTCTTTTATTAATATAAACGTCTTTATGTTTAGAGTTATAGAAAAAAATTTAATAAAACAAATTAGGATTATTTGTTTCACAACAGGTGATGAGTATAAATAACAGAAGTATAAAACAAAATTTCATTTATTATTATAATGGATATTTTTTTATACAATACTAAACAGATAAGAAACATTAATAACCCAATAGGGTATAGAAAAAGTTTTTTACATAATAAAGTGTTTAAACAGAATTTTCAATTTCATATATATATATATATACAATTTTAATTTCTCTTCCAAACTAATACCCCAGTGGAAATCTTCCCAAAGTCGCCCAAAGTGAGACTGGGCGCCAATCTGGGCCCAACTTGGCTTCCCAAAGTTTGAAAAATGAAGAAATAAAATAATTAAGTTAATTAAATTATTATTTAAATAATATGCTAAAAAAATATACAAAAAAGCGCAACTGTGAAAAACTGAAAAAAATGTTTGTTTTTCATTGTACTTGGGCAAAGTTTGGGTCAACCCAACCTGGCCCCAACTGGGATTTCCCAAAGTATTCCCAAACTCAAATTTAATTTAATATTCTGTTATAAATGAATAAAAAACTTGAGAAATAATAAAACTAGTTAATTATATTTAATTTATATGCCGTTTGGAGATTTTTCCAAAAGCCAATATGGGCAAAATTCACATTTAAGGAAAAATAAGGAAATTGAAAACTTTAGTTAATTATATTAATGCTTAAATAATACCTTCCCTGAATAAATAAAATGTATGTCAAGTTCTTAGTTTTTAATTTATTAAGCTAATTATTATTATTATTATTATTATTAATATTAATATTAAGCTATTATTAAGCTATTATTAAGCTATTATTATTAAGCTAATTAATAATAATAACTTAGTCGTTTTTTGAGTTTGGGCTTTCCCACTCTCAATCATTTATTTCCTATTTTTATTCAATTTATTAATAATAATTGAACAAAATTTTGACTTCAACGACAACTATACTTTGGTACTTATTAATTACTGGTAAAAATGTTAAATTAAAATAAATGAAATTAAGTAAGTGATTATATTTTAATTTATTGTCTAACCTAATGATATTTTTCACATCTTTGATACTGAGAAATTAAAACTTGTCTGCAGGTACGCGTCGTTAGCATAGTGGTTAGAGCGTTAATCTATAAGGTCGTAGGTTCGATTCCCCTCGTGCGCAGTTTTCTTTATTTCATAGGTTTGCGTTATTTCTAGATTTTCATTTATAAGTTGTACCAAAACTTGAAAATCTAATACATATACACTATTATTTCATTTTTAAATTATATAAATATTTTTTTTACTTTTTTTACTATATACATTGTTTGTTAGTCGTCATCTTTAATACAATTTAATTTAAAAGTAAATTATATTTATTCATTTAATTTACTCTTTTGTTGTTAAATTATTTATATAATTATTAATTAACAATTATAAATAAAAATGGAATAACTCAATCTGTACCCAGCTGAGATTTTCCAACCTTGGGAAATCTTTGGGTTCAGCGTTACGCGCCTAGTTTGGGCGTTGTCTGGGTTGCCAACTTTGGACATTGGGAAACCCAGTTTGGACTAGATTGGGGCCCAGTCGACTTTTCCACACGGGTAGAGTTGTAACAAACTTTTGAATTAACGAATTTTTAAAATGCCGAATTTTTATTTATCCAAAATTGCGAATGCACAGTGGCCGATTTCCCGAAAAACCTGGCCAAAAGTCAAAAAATTTTTTTTAGAAATTTATACTTTTTATTATGGAATATTATAAAGGAGGGTTCACTGCATAATTTTGCAAAAAAAAAATTACACTTTTTTCATCACCCAATTTATTATGTGAACAAGTAAAAGTGATCTTTGCCAGAGATTTACTCAGAACCTTTCATAACTATAAATTCTCGTCACAGTTAAAATAGTGAAAATATACTAATATACAGCAGATTTTTGAATATCTTTTTTTGGGAATTATTAACAGAGGTGTATGAAATAGGTTGAATGTATTTATCATCACATTTAAAACGTACAGTTTTTAAAAAATGACATTAAACATCGCTATTCATGGCTACGATTTTTGTATTGTTTTATCAACGTAAATCATGAAAATAGTTGTGAAATCCACCGATATCCGCGCCCTACCTGGTATTATCATAAACTAGAATATATTTTTGATTCGTTTTAATTGAAATCAGCTGCCCCAAGCTGCCCCTGCAGTTTTGGTATCACTTTTTATTTCACCCAGCGCGTTGCACCGGCCGGCGGTGCAACTGAACGTGAAAGACTGACTTTTTCTTCCTTCGCATTCGCTTTAAACTAAAATTTAAGCACTTTCTGTAATTTAAAAAAAATAAACTCTAACACATATACGCAATTTTATAATACCAGCAAATATTTTGGATCCGCCATATTGAATTTGATAAAACAAATGTAAAATTTGATTTCAGAAACCCAGTAAACGTAAGTATACTAAGTTTGGTTAAAATCGTACCATTTTTTAATTTTTAGCAAAGTTTTTTAAAATCTAAACGGCCATTTTGGATCCGCCATTTTGAATTTGACACAACCAATGTAAAATTTGAATTCAGAAGCCCAAAAAACATGGGTATACCAATTTTGATTGAAATCGTATCATTTTTCGATTTTCAGCAAAGTTTTTTTAAATCTAAACGGCCATTTTGGATCCGCCATTTTGAATTTGACACAACCAATGTAAAATTTGAATTCAGAAGCCCAAAAAACATGGGTATACCAATTTTGGTTGAAATCGTATCATTTTTCGATTTTTGGCCAGGTTTTTCGGGAAATCGGCCACTGTGGAATGGTCGAATAGACAATCCACATAAAGATTTCGGTGGGATTTTTAAAATTGACCAATCACACGATTTTTTTTTGACAATTTCTGATTGGTCAATTTTAAAAATCGCGTTAAAATCTGTGGTTGAAAGGCATAACAGCACAACTGCATTTGTCACGATTTTGAGAAAAATGAGTTTTAATATTCATTTAGCTCTGTCAAATCAGAAAATCAACGGATGTGTTTGGTATTCGGCATTTAGTCTCATTATTTAATGTATTTTTAAAATACATTTATCACATTTAATAAAACGCACGAATTCATATGGAATTTAATATATTCTTAGTCAAATTGAAAGTTTTTTTTGCAGTTATGTGTTTATGCTGTTAAAGTTTAAATATGTAACCAAGTTCACTCTATTTTTCATGTCATAATAAATTGTCAAAATGGATTTAATAGCGACGTACGAATCTGAGTCTGAAACAAATATATCTGAAGGAGATGATTATAATGAAGGCAAAAGAATAACATTATTATTTATGTTTATTGTATCTATGAAAAAAATCAAACGAATATTTTTTAAAAATAGGTTATAAAATTGGTTAGGTTTTATGTTTACATTTCCGTAATTTCTCAAATTTAATATTTTTTGTGAAGATATCGAGAAGAATGAAGATACCTGTGATTCAAAAGAATTAATGAAAAGAGAAAATCGAAAAATTAGTCAAACTAATAAAAAATTTTATTTTTTCTGAAATTCCTTATTATAAGATAAAAATAAATAATAAATAAATAAATAATATTTTTATTTTAAAATATTACTTTAATTTTGTAGATTACGTCAATTGTTTTTTTATTCTGAATGCAGTTATGCGCTTATGCCTATCGCCTATTGCCAAAAGTGCAGTTATGCGATTAGGTTTTTCATCATTTTCTACTTAAATAGTTACATAAATGATTTTTCAACTATGAATTTTTGGAAAGCATTACTAAATGAACTAGAATCTGGTGTTATCTCAAATTTGATAAAAATGTCAGTTATGCTGTTATGCCTTTCAATCACAGAATTTTGGACAAATAAAAAGCATTCTGTACAATATCGATACATAATGGTACGGTCACAGCTCACGGCTGCCTATGCAGGCAGCCAGTAAGAGGCAATCAGAGAGTCAGTAGATTTAAATTTGAATTTTCTGTCTCTCTTACTCTTGTACGTTTTCTGCGTGGTGTGATCGTACCATAAGAATTCTATTAAGCAAAAATTCGTATAAAATATCCTAGATATAATGTTTATCAAAATCTATTAAAATTTAAATATTATATCGAGTACCACAGATCAAAAAAATTTATTGTGCAGTATTTTTTAGTTTTTCAAAATTCAAATGGCGGACGATTTTTTGAAAAATCATTGTATTTTCTTTAAAAAAAGGGTTTCTAGGGATTTTTGAGGTCGCTGATTAAAAATCTAATGTCAGATTCTTAAAATTTTGAAAAATTAAAAATGGCTGATTAGCCACCCCAAAAATCCTAAGATACCCATTGCACAAAAATTAAATATTTTTTCAAAGAAACCAATATTTTAGTCATAATTCATCCGCCATATTGGATCTGCTAATTTGAATTTTGGAATTCTGACTTCGGATTTGCAGCGACCATAAAAACCCATGATAACTAATTTTTAAGCAAATCCAAGCAATTTTTTAAAATATCGTTCGCCATATTAGGTCCGCCATTTTGAATTTTGAATAACTAACATCGGATTTGTAATCAGCGACTCCAAAAACCCCCCGAGTACCATAATTTTTAAGCAAATTCATTAGATCTTTTGACTTTTTTTTAATCTATAATTGAGTAATTTTTTATGATTTCAATTTTCTCTTTTTCATTTATAATAAAATAAAAAAATTAAACTATGTAAACATTCTGCTTAATTTTATGAAATTATAAAAAAAAATTATTTTTTTTAGAAGAAAAACTATTAATTTTTCTCAA